TTACGTGGTAGAGCTACGCTGCAGCTATATTATAGTTGTAGCACGAATGGGTGGACTCGAAGAGCGCAGGACCACGCTCTCACAGAAAGCCAGCGTCAAATAGCAGCTTATTGCTGCTGTGTTTCGTAGTGGTGACTGTAGAAAACCGGAGACCCTTTTTACTGAAATCGAGGCATTCCATCTTAGTCCTCAGGGCTGAAAACGCATTTACATTTTGATTCTTAATCGATGATAAATGTAGATATCTATGGGCTACAGCATCCACTTACTATCAGATGGTCCCTAGATTGTTTAGACTCACATTTTTGTCCGGCAAGTGGCGCTGTTGTCGAGATCCATAAATCATCAATGTGAAACCGGAGTGGATTTCTAGTTATAAATAAATAATGCTACGAGGTTTTTGGATGTCATTAAGACTTGCATAACCATTTTAATATATATATACTAGCTGACCCGGTGAACTTTGTTCCGCCTTAATGGCAATAAACAAGCAGTTTGTGGTTTTTTTTTATTGAAAAAAAATACAAAAAAATTAAATACCTACATTAATCATTCATTATTATTTCTGTATTTTGGTACATAGGTTGCTCTTCACTTAAGTACCTTGTGATACACGACATTTTTTGTTTTATTATCAGGCGCAAAAACAAACAACGCAAATGGTCTTCCGACCCGTGAACATGCCACGTATAATTGACCATGGGAAAAACATGAATGTTCTAGACTTAAACCGCAAACTTTTAAGGATTGGCCTTGTGATTTGTTGATGGTCATGGCAAATGCAAGACGTATCGGAAATTGAAGTCTTTTAAATTCAAACGGCATATCGGTTGGGATCATCGGGATCCTCGGAATAAGAACTTCCTCACCTTTGAATTTTCCTATCATTATCGTAGCGTAAATTACATTGTTCATCAATTTTCTAACTACCAAACGCGTACCGTTGCACAGTTTTGGTTGGTTTATGTTTCGAAGCATGATTACTAAGGAGCCAACCTTTAGGCGTAAATTGTGTTGTGGTAAGCCAGGCACGTCCAAAGAGTTTAAAAATTCAATTGGATAGTTGGTGGCTTCATCTTCATTTGTGACGCAGTCAATAGATTTGAATGAATGCATTGTACCAATGATCTTATTTTGAATTATGTAGTTCAGATCATCTACATCTTTATTCTTAGCCGCTAAAATTGCTCGCTCACTCAACCATTCATTATTTTTGTAGTTAGAAATAATGTTTGGAAATACATTGTTGATAAGTTCGTCTTTTGATGAGACAAAATTACAGAAATTATTTGGAAATGATATTAATCCGCTCGATTCATCGAAAGGTACTCGACCATTACCGATAGTCAGCAATTGCTCCGAGAAATCTTCAGCAGATGTATCATTAAGCAATGTAACTCTCATGTTTGTTGTCAACTGCAGTTTCTTCACATAGCGCCATAGATTTGATGATTTGAGGCAAGCGTTTATTTCGTCGGCAGTCGTAGATCTTGGAATTACTGGCAGTATTTGGCGGAAATCGCCAGACAGTAAAATCATTGCTCCTCCAAAACATCTCGAGTCATTGCGTAAATCTTTTAATGTTCGGTTAAGTGCTTCTAATGCACGTTTATGCGCCATTGTGCATTCGTCCCAGATGATGATTTTCGATGCCGCTAAAACTTTGGCCATTGCTGAGTGTTTTGCAATATTACACGTTGGTTCTTCAATAGTTTGAAGATTTAACGGTAATTTTAATGCTGAATGAGCCGTACGGCATCCTTCTAACAATGTGGCTGCTATTGTAGAAGAAGCAACTGCAACCGCTATGTTGGATCTCGCCCGAACAGTTGCTAAAACTAATGACATGAGGAATGTCTTGCCAGTTCCACCAGGGGCATCTAGGAAATATAAACCACCATTTCATCATCGATTGCCTTCATTAAAGTATCATAAACTTCCTTTTGTTGGTAATTCACAGAGACACACGTTCCCGTTCCAATTCTCGATTAAATGCGTCATTCATTTCACGATATGGCGCTGGCATTCCTAACCTGACTAATAAATTACCGCACATGGGGTAACACATATCTTCGATCAAGAGTAAGCACGATTATGTATCTCCTCATTCATCTCAATATCGAGATTTTTGGAACTGACACAAATTTGATGTAAAATATCTTCTGAGATATTATTCTTGTATTTGTGCCACAGGTTACATGGGTTTGAAGGAAAACATGTCGAAATTATGATAGCGAATAATGTGCGTATCTGACTTGGAGATGCAGAGATAATGGCTTCAGCGATTGTCGTATCCCAATGGGTATCGTTTTCTAATAAGTTCAATTCTTCACATGCAGCACGATATGTTGGGAATATTACACCATTAACAGTTCGTAGTGTCTCAAATGACGTTGGCCCACGCACATTTACCAGCAACAACCGCAAATAGAAACATTCATCATTCTTTGGATGAACTGTATACATACGACCAAGAGCATCAGTAGAACGCACATCTGGATACCCAGGAACCGCATCGCCTTGCTTCCGTCTTTGAAAATTCTTCGATGAAGCATTCCAAGTATAATAACGTGGCATCTCCGAGTAAAGCAAAGTTCGTGCAAACTGATAGCTTTGGCAGGTTGCAAAAAAACTGGTCAATGTAGTTGCTGGAGGTGTTTCAGCACGTTGCGTAGCATTCGAAGCCGTGAAATATACTCGTTGACCATTCTCCAGATGCACCGCCAAATGCATAACAGTAAGATGACGTTCGTAAATGGGAAATGCGAATATACGCCAAATCGCTTCATTACAGTTCACATAACGACCAACTTGATAGCGTGAAATTTCATCGTTGGTATTCGAGGATTGCAATCCAAAAACTGCCATTTCACTGCCTTTCGTGATATATTTGCAAATATATTTTATGGAGTTAACTGAATTGCAGTATTCAACGTTGCAATGTGTTTTGAACGTTTTAGAAATAAGTGGCGAATATGGAACAATCCAACTGTTGTCGACAACGAAATCCATTCTTTTCACTTTCGTTGTGACAGTTCGACCGTTGTCATCTGGTGATCGACGCCGATACAGCGGATAACCATCGTTGCCAGTGACAGTCTCCGCCGTTAATTTCCGTGGATATCGTTTAGAGCACTTTCCATCGACCATGCAAGGTGATTGGGGATTGATGGCACCACACGGTCCATGAATCATATTAGTAGTAACAACATCATGTAGGTCTGGATCGACTTCATGATCAGGAATCTCGGCACATATGATATCATCTATTTGGTCAGGCTGAATTCTTTCCACCAACCAAATAAGAATGTGTGCGTGCGGCAGGCCTCGCTTTTGCCATTCGATTGAATACATCCAGCATCGAGTGTCTCAAAAGACGCGTTGTTTAACAATAAAGTTCATCAGAGACCGAATTTTTTGCCTGAATATACGTGCTGTGATGTCGTGTCTATCACTTGATGTTTGTCCGGGAAGCAGCAATTGAGTAATTTCTATCCATTTTGGATTACAGGTGAAAGTAATAAAGAGATCTGGCCGACCGTAGTGACGAACATATGTCATTGCATCTTGTGCATATTCATGCATATGACGTGGACTACCAATGTACGTCGCCGGCAGAATAGTTAATCGACCAATATTAGCTGCATTTTCTTCAGTACTAACTGCATCACGTAAATGGATGTACTCCTCAGAACGCAGTTTGGCTTGGTTCAACCTAATGAATGTTAAACGTTCCGTTTCTATTTTTACATACATGTCAACGCAATACTGCTGAAACAATCGACGAAACCGCAGCAAATAGTTGTCAGCATTTTGACGAATCATCAAACGATATGCGTAATAATTCATTGAGCTACCTTTCTTTGTAGTTTCTTCACCTGAAATTAAAAACTTGATAATTATTTTTTTTTATAGAAGAGGGGGCAAACGAGCATGTGGCTCACCTGATGTTAAGTGACTACCGCCGCCCATGATCAACCGCAACACCAGGGGAATTGCAGGTGCGTTGCCGGCCCTTTAGAAAGTAGTAAGCTCTTTTCCATTTCTCAATTAACCATTTCAAAGGCAAATTTCAAAGGCAAACAATACAGACATTAACCATTTTTTTAATAAGCATTATTTTAAATCAGTGTCTTTCACAAATAAATGAAATAAATTATGATACTGATACTCACCATTCAATGGATTTATCATTTTAATATTAAAATAATATCCATCTTCTCCTTGCCAAAACGATCGATGAGTTTCAGATATTTGTTGCAGTTGCCCAGTATCGCGACGTGTAAGCACAATATCGCGTTTTTACAATTGTTTACCAACAATCAGGATGGCAACTTCGTCTAATGTTGGAGCATTAAATGTGCGTTCGTGTGTTCCAGATGGTCGTTTATCTGCTTTGATGACAACTTTATAGTCATCACTTGGCATGCGCTCTAAAGCATTCTTAAACAACCTGACCAACGCATGATGTTCATGAAGCAGACACTGCAAGTCTGGAAGAATTGCTCGCTTCATTCCTGCATTGATCCCTAGGCGTCGATCAAGTTGTTCTTCCATGTTGCCCATGAAATATATTTGTAAAAATTTATTCTGTGTATCTTCGAAAGGTAGTAATGATCCAATTCGATGGTGAATCTGTCCTTGTATGTACAAAATAAAAACCAGACAGTATTAACTGTGTTATAAACACTTTTTTCGGTGGGAGAGTAGAGTTCAGAATTAGCAAATATTTTTGGGTGGGAGAGTAGAGTTCAGAATTAGCAAATATAATACATACCAATAGATAAAGTAAGTTATTCTTTAACTACATTCTATGTAAGTACAAAAATAAATACCTTAAATGTCGGATTAAATCCTCGTTCTTCGATAATATCTGCCCCAAATGACGTCATTTGGAAACAACCATTGTATTTTTGAGTGTTTGCAAGAAAGTGGCGTGATTCTTGTGTTTCGCCACAAAGCAATGAATACAATGGCTCATGTGGCGGACTCAACAACGGTTATTTCACTTTACCATTAAGGCAGCATAATCCAGCCGTTTCTCCGGAAAACTTTAATGCACCACAATACTCACAAACAACGTCCATTTGCCCAATACAAACGCTAGGATGCAAGCTGTAATCATTGCTGCAATCGTATCGAAACGCTGCTCGATTCAAATCAGCACTTGATAAATATCTTGTTCTGCGTCGCAAATTATCTATCTGTTGACCTCTATTGTTCGCTCGACGATTCCGCATTGCCAACCGAGCTGTTTCACGGGCTGCTTCACTTTGCTCTCGTGATTGAGAAGCACAAAGTCGAGCCATACTATCGCGGCGCTGTTCACGTGCAATTTCTTGTTCTTCTTCAGTCCTCTCATTTGCAGTATTTCGTATTCTTCTTGCACTACGGCTTTGTCGAGAAAGATTCGATCGTCTTGCTCGCGGCATTATTAAACTTCACTTCACTTCAATTCACCTAAAAATTTATTTCAAAACTCAAATTTTCAACCATACCGAGTTTTATAGATCACTTCACTGTTTATACGAATGGGCAACGGCACTATCATTACATTATAATTGTTAATTATTTATTTAATAGAAATAGTTTGAATATTGATCTCTTACAAATATCTAATTGTCATCTATACGTCATTACATAGCTGACATTATACGTCAATTAAACATAGCTATCATTTGCGTTTTGTTATTCCAAGTGTGATTCTTTTTTATTATACCACTTTTTATAGTGACTGACGTTTCATGTCAAGTCACACGGGAACGCTGTCGAACGGGATAAAAAGTATCTTATGTCCGTCTCCTGGCTCTAAGCTACCTCCATACCAATTTTCACCCAAATCTGTTCTGCCGTTCTTGAGTTATAAGTGGTGTAACTAACACGACTTTCTTTTATATATATATATATATATATATATATATATATATATATATATATATATATATATAACCCATTTCTGCCTGTTTGTCCGTCCGGACTAATTATGGAATAATAATAACCGATGGTAATTAAACGACACAATCAGTTACATAGCAATGGAATCATCTTGACTATGTATTATCCGAACATATTATACAGATTTTTTAAGAAATGAAAAGATGATAAAATACGAGGAAATGGTCTTTGGTTATCTTAAATCTGAACACTATCTTTTTAAAAAATCCTAAAAAGGCCGGCAACGCTTCCGAATTCCCCTGGTGTCCTCCTCACTCTTTGGGCGTGCTTACTCTTTAGGCGCACGACGCACTAAAACCTAAAATCAGCGATACAGAACTACTGTCCGTTATTTTTAGCGGAAGGGGTGAGGGTGGATTTTCGCACACAAAGTAATCCTCTGTCACTGCGAAACTCACACGTAAGAATTAAAACAATATATTAAGTAATGATTTCTTATATTTACGCGAACACTATACATTGATTAAAACTACTTTTACGGATTTTATCGCGTTTTATTTGTATTAATTTTAATACCCGACATTTCGGGTGCTTTCCAGCACCCATGGTCACGAGGAATGAGGTGACTGACGTCCCGATGTCAAAGTTAACCCGGAGTACCTTCAGCTTTTTAATTATTGTTTTTTTTTATTGTTTTATTTACCGCATTCACTCGTCGTTCTATATCCTTATCATATCTCCCATCCCTGCTAAATATGCAGCCCAAATATACAAACTCATCTACTTGCTCGATCAACTCCCCTTCTATTCTTATTTCACAAATCGTTTTACTTTCTTCTCTTGCAAAATCCATAACCTTCGTCTTACTTGCGTTCACTTTCATACCCCTTTATTTTAATGATCTGTTCATTAATGTAACCATCATTTGCAACTCGGCCGCCGACGACGCAAGAATAACTTGATCATCGGCGTACAAAAGGCATTTGACGGTTAACTCACCCATTCTTAATCCGCATTCTTCAACTTTCAAATTTTGCAAACAACTGTCCATAAATAGGCTGAACAGCCACGGGGAAGCCACACAGCCCTGTCTGACACCTTTATGGACGTTAAACCAGTCCGAGTAGACCCCGTTGATCCTAACACAAGCACTAGAGTCCCTAAAAAGAGACTCCAATGCCTGTATCAAGCCGATCTACGCAGAATGAACTAAATGTATTTTGAAGTCTTGCAGTGGTATGCTTGGGTTTAGTTTTAAAAACAATAATTGAAAAGCTGAAGGTACTCCGGGTTAACTTTGAAATCGGGACGTCAGTCACCTCATTCCCCCGTGACCATTGGTGCTGGAAAGCACCCGAAACGTCGGGTATTAAAATTAATATAAATAAAACGTGATACAATCCGTAAAAGTAGTTTTAATCAATATATTATGTTTTAACAATTTTACCTATACATAGGTGCATTATAAAACAATCGGATCATCGAGTCAGATCAGCCGCTCGATATATATTATAAATATTGTATTGGCCAGTGTTGGCAAACAAATCCGAAACAACACGATTTTTATTGTAATTTTTAAGTTTTGAAGCAATATTGTGATTAAAAATTATTTATATATGAAAAGTAATGTTTTGTAAATTTGAAATGGCAGATCTATTTTTGCAGCAAAAAACGGAATAACCTGCCATTTTTGTATGACAACAGCAGCAGAAGCAGTGCGACTGCAACTAGTTTCTTTGTACGAATAGGGCCGCGTGGACTTATACTTTGGCAGAGGGGAAAGCCTACATATGGCTACTCCCCTCAGGTCCGCCGGTGGCTCCTGTTCTATGATTCAGCCACAGCATATTAAGCTGACTAAGGTCCGTTAATCCAACATGTTTCAACTCACGTGAGAGGTTATTTTTTAATAATTGTAAATTATAAAAGACGCTTTCATAATGATTTTTTATATTCACACGAGTACTAGACATTGAATAAAACGAAATTTACGGTAATATTTTTAAAGTATAGTGATAGGTTTTAAATATTACAAACGTGTTGGATGCTTTATAGCACTCATGGTCATAGGAGAATTATCGTCGTCTGATATTAAAAATATGTTAAATTAACATGATAAATTAACACTTAAAATTGTAATTAACAATTTAATTCGTGCCGGTGGGAATCGAACCAGGATTGCTTGAACGTTCGGGGCGGGGGCTCTAGCAATGTAACTCACAAGTCATTCAGAGCACCGTGATGTTGGGGTGCTGGGGGCAGTAAGGACTACCCCGGATCGTGATTTAATAAAGTAAAGCGAGAGAAGGGTCCCAGTTGGGTTCCGAGCGGAAATTTCGGAACCCCTCGTATACGACGACAGTGAGATTTTAACCGGTAGAAGTCCGGTATAACCTTCTCATTGCCTCCGCAGTGAAAAGTATGCGTGAGGATTTCCCCACGAAAAAAAGGCAACGCCCATAGATTGCCTTGTAGCTTTTTGCCATAGTTGCCACGCTTGAAAGGCGGGTTATTAACTGCAGTGTTTTTTATTTATGGATTCTCAGGCAGATCATTATCATCATCATCATTACAGCCCCTCACAAGTCCACTGCTGAACATAGGCCTCCCCCAAGTAATGCCACAAAGCACGGTCCTGAGCCACCTGCATCCATGGACTTCCTGCATATCTTACCAGGTCATCACTCCATCTAGTGGGGGTCGCCCTACACTACGACTACCGGTACGAGGCTGCCACTCGAGAACATTTCTTCCCCATCGGTTATCGGTTCTTCGAGCTATATGGCCGGCCCATTGCCACTTCAGCTTACTAATTCGTTGGGCTATGTCGGTTACTATGGTTTTACTGCGGATATCCTCATTTCTGAGTCTATCTTGCAGAGAAACTCTAACACTCCCATACTCTCATACAACTAATACGTACCCTTTCATCGGTATAAACCTTTAAATATTTTTGCAACACAACTGCACAATTTAAATAAAAGATAGACCGCAATTGATCGAGGAGTACTTAGTGGCGCCCAACATCGTCAGAATCTAATTGCCAATCGTGATAGACCGCCTACGTGTAATTAGGCAAGCGTTGATCAAACGCAACCACTGAACGTTAAAGCCTGCATTTGTAATTTGTACGTTAAAGCGAATAGCTATTCCCACGACACCAAAGTAGTTGTATGTTACATTTAGCTTTGCATTGACTGATTTTAGTTAAGTAGTTAGTATAGTAATGCCTAAGAAAAGATAGATGGACTGTGACAGAGATCATATACGTAAGTAAAATGTTGAGGAAATGACGGCTAGTAGAGGAGAATGGAAGTAAGAGATATGCTTTTTTTAAATAACTTGGGAACAGAACAGTTAAAAGAAGACTTGCATAAGAAAGTTCATAATTAATTGAAGCAGAGGCCGTAAGAGTTGATTACGAGATCGTCATCGATAAATAGATCTGACTGCCTCTTATAGACAGACAGATAGATTAAATAAAGATAAAAGTAGGTTGTTCTTAAGTTCGTTTGTTAAGATCACCTCTGGTCATTGTATTGTATTTGTACTGTATTGGTATCCAAAGGGTAAGAAACATCACAGCTTCGTTCATTGGAGACTCTTGCTCTCTTTATATCCCCTCTTGTTTCATATCTACTTCGTTTGCTGCTCAAGCCGCGCATCCATGAAATGATCTGTCTGGAAAGTTAAGACAAACTATCAGCTAATGAAATTTTTAGAATCTTTGATCTCATTTCAACCCCTTATAACCTGTGACAGTCGTACTTATGTAAGGAATAACACATTATATACTAAAAGCGACAAATGTATCAATTTTGATAAGAATTTGATAAATACTCTAAAATGTGCATCGTAAAAAAGTATCAAATTTAATTGTATTTATGGCCCACTATTTTGAATATAATGGCTTCTACATAATAGGTAGATATATGCTACCGCGTACTTTTATTTAGAACTATTTAAGACAAACGATCCATGGTACATTATCTTCGTATAACTATAACAGTTTAGCCAGCGCACGCTAAGATAGATCTCAGAGGGCAGGAATTTTTCCAACATACTTGATACTTATCGTTATATTTTGGCCAAATTACACAAATTCTTTACAAACTGTAGCCTATATGTTATGTTGATGTATAAACTACATTACTGTAAAGTTTTATCTAAATTCGTTTAGTAGTTTTTGCGTGAAAGTGTAATGAACATCCATTAATCCTCACATACTTTCGCATTTATCGTATTAGTAGGATTACCATCTTGTTTAAAACAAACAGAATAAACTATACTGGTGATTGATAGTAGCATTAAAGGTGGATAACATCTGATACTGCTATTGACATCCACCTGTGAAGCTTGACGGTTAAGGTAAATCCAGAGAGTATTGAGGGAGGACAGTGGGGACTTTCAATGTCTGATAAGAAAGAAGAAGAATGAAGCAGATTAGTACTCTACATTGTTCTAAGTAATGCATTAAATCTATAATATACACGATACTGAATGATGAAGTTTTGAGTTTAAAGAGATGGAAGGAATA